TTTGTGTTTCCTAGATTATATATTTATTTTCTTTTGTTGCCTCAAGGTATAGCTGTTTCTCTCTCTGCTCTCTGTATTGCTTCACGTATTCTTTGAAGGGCTGGTTTTGTGGGCATGTATTCTTTCAGGCTATTCATGTCATGGAAGATTTTTTCTTTCCCCCTCAACTATAATAGACATTTTTGCTGGGTACAGTATTCTGGGCTGGCATCTATTATCATGTAGAACTGGAAATAACTTGGTACAGGCTCTTCTGGCTTTCATAGTTTGCATTGATGTCAGCTGTAATTCTGATGGGCTTTCCTTTGTATGTGACTTGTTTTTCTTTTGCTGCTTTCAGTATTCTCTTTTTGTTCTGTACATTTAGTGTTTTTACTATGATATGTCAGGAGTTTCTTTTCTGATCCTGTCTATTTGGTGTTCTATGTGATTCCTGTATTTGTATGGGGATGTATTTCCTTAATTTTGGGAAATTCCCTTCTACAATCCTGTTTAAGATCTGGTCAACACCATTAATATGAAATTCTTCTCCTTCCTCTATTCCTATGATTCGTAGATTTTGTCTTTTCATGGTGTCCCACATCTCTTGCATATTCCATTCCTGTGTTTTTTTCAATTTTCCATACTCTTTGCTTGAGTGGTCCAATTCTTCAACTTTATCCTCCAGTGTTGATTTTGTTTTCCATTTCATTCATTCTAGAGGTGAGGCTTTCCCCTGTTGTTTCAAGTTGGCTTATTGGGTTTTGCACTTCCTTCATTTCTGCCTGAGTTTTATTCAATGTTTCTATCTCTTTTGTGAATTAATTCAGAAGTTTATCCCTATCTTTTTAGCTCTTTGTTTGTTCGTGTGTTCTTTAAATTCGCTGAATTCCTTGATCATTTTTATGATTGTTCTTTGAAATTCAGTGTCCTGGGTTATCTCTAGGGGGTTCTTGTAGAACTCTTCTACAGGATTGGTGGGCTTTGCTGGGGACATAGTGTTTTGGCTTTCCATTTTATTATTCTTTCGTTGTAGTATTGGCATGTAAATTTCTTTTGTTGTTTAAGATTCTGATATGAGAATTAAGTTGAAGTATGCTTCTGTCTGTAATATCTGGGTGCTTAGATCCTTTCTTTATTGGTTATGTAAAGCTGGTTGGTACAGGGTTCAGGTTCTTTCAGGTTTATTTTGAAGGGAACTCATGGCTTCAGATCAGCTATTCAGGGTTACCCACAGAAGCCCAATTCAAGTTCCAGTCAGGTATACTTAGGCTTCTTCACCACACGGAGGTAGGATCCAGGGTCTCTCAGGCAGTCCTGTACATTGTCAACCCTATGCCAGAGGGAGGCCAGAGGGGGACAGAACTCAGCACTCTCTGCTGTCTGCTGAGTTCCCAGCCTTAGCCTACCAAAGCCAGATCTGCCCTGGGGCCTTGGGAGGGACCTCACAAAATCCCAGGTGGGGGATGGTATGGCACAATTAGGGGAAGCTCACCACCACATGGAGGCAGGATCTGGGGGCCGTCAGGCTGTCCCCTGAGTTCTCAGGCCTCTGGTAGTTGGAGGCCAGAACCCTGCACTCTCTGGCAGTCTGCAGGGCTCTGAGCAGCTACCCCGGTGGAGGAGGTCTGAACCCACCCTCTCAGGCTGTCTGCTAGGATCTCAGCCTTAGCCTACCAAAGACAGATCTGCCCTGGGGCCTTGGGAGGGGCTTCACAAAATCCCAGGTAGGGAGATGGTATGGAGCAATTAGGAGAAGCTCACCACCACTTGGAGGCAGGATCCGGGGCTGTCAGGCTGTCCCCTGGGTTCTCAGGCCCTCTGGTAGTTGGAGGCCAGAGGAAGGCCAGAACCTTACACTCTCTGGCAGTCTGCTGAGCTCTGAGCAGCTACCCTGATGGAGGTCCAAACCCACCCTCTCAGGCTGTCTGCTAGGATCTCACACTATCTTTCCCATATCTAAATATATGAAACTTCCCTTCAATCTTATTCATATTATTATTAGATATTATTTTTAGATATATTTTTTTCTGTATTAGCTAGAAGGAAATAATTTTAAAATACCATCACATTTTTTCATTCATATCTTCATTACTTCAATTAACTTACCAAAGTCAGAGCTAATTAGATTTATGCTAAGATCTTCAGATGCAAAAGCTCTCTTCACATCAATTTTTTTAGCCCAATTTCCAGCTTTTAGTAATGCAGAATCCCTGAAAAACAGTAATGTATAATTTACTGTGATATAAACATTAAATGAAACAATACATTAATTTCAGGGCTACGAAGCTAGGTCTATGCTAGTAGTAAACTGCTAAAAACTACTTTCCCCAATTCTGTGAAAGAATAAAAGTATCCCTGGATTTTTTTTGTTTGCTTGCTGTCTTGTTTATTTTTTGTTTTATTTTTTCAGACAGGGTCTCATACAGACCAGGCTGACCTCAAGCTCATTATATAGCTGAGGATGACCTTGAACTATGGATCCTCCTCCATCTACGGCCCAAGTGCTAGGATAACAGTAGAGCTAAATTGACCAAAATTTTCTTAACAATAGCTGATCCGAAGTTGAACTGATTCATTTGAGTTCAACAATAAATACATAGTTGCTATCAACAACACAGAAGTTTGTCCTAAATTTCTACCACTTTAAAATGTATTAAATTTATTTGTGAGAAACAACTTCAACAATCTTTTATCTGATTTAGAGTCGTTTGTATCTGATACTGTTACAGACAAACAAGAGATGAAAGCAACCTAAGTGTTCCTCAGCTGACAAGTGGATAATGAAAATGTGGTACATTTACACAATGGAGTTCTATTCAGTGATAAAGATGAAATCATGAAATTTGCAGGTAAATGGATGGAACTAGAAACTGTTATACTAAGTGAAGTAACAAAGACTCGGAAAAACAAATGACATATGTTCTCCCATATGTGGATCCTAGCACCAAATTCTTGTGAGTATGTATCCAATCATAACTGCAGAAACCAAAATAATGAAAAGGAAACAGGGAGGTAAAGGGAAAGAAAGAACTTGCACTGGGGAACATCTAGGGACACTGACTTGACACAGTGGGCCTTAGCAGGGATGATATAGTATATGGACTTCAGTGGGGGGCTATGGGAGGGTGCCAATGGGAACAGGGGTATAAAGATGATTAAGATTGTTTGAGATGTTCTGTATGAAATACACAAAAATTCAGCAAAAATAAATTTTAAAAAATGAAGCCCTCTTCTGACCTCCGTGGCATTGCACGACATGGGTGCACTCACATACATGCAGGCAATACATTCATACACATAAAATAAAAATAAGAAAATACTAAAAATTTTTTTTTATTTTTGTATGAGTGTATTGCCTGCATGTTCAGTTCACCCATGTTGTGCAATACTCATGGAGGTCAGAAGACAGTGTCTAAATCCCCTGGACCTGGAGTTATGGATGGTTGTTAGCCACCATGTGGGTGCTGGGAATCAAACCCAGATCCTTCGCAAGAGCAGACAGTGCTTTTAACCAGTGAGCCGTTTCTCCAGCCCCATACAGCAACGAATTTTATGACTGAACTTCATTTATTCTTAAATAGTCAGGGCTATTCTCAGATTCAGTAGTCCCCAAGAATAGAGATTTGTACAATGGTATGTTCTCTCTAAGCATGCCAGGGTTAGTTGTAGGAGAGCAGTTACAAGTAAAGAGAATATCCCATTATTCACTGCAGCTCCTTCAGGAAGTTTGCGTGTAACCTCCTGTATCCTGGTAACACTTAGGAGATTCCCATTTTAGAGTAACTGCTTGTGATGGTTTGAATGAAAATGTCCCCCATAGGCTCCACATGGTGGCGCTGTTTTGGGAGATTTTAGAAGGTGTGGCTATCCTGGAGGAAGCACGTCACTGGGGGGTGGGCTTACAGAATTCTTAAGCCTTGCCAGATCTCCAGCTGTTCTCTGGCTTCCTGTGCCTGTATGATGATGTGAGAGCTTAGCTTCTGCTACTCCTGGTTCAGCCACCTCCAGCCACCACGCCTCCCTGCCATGACAGCCTGTAATTCCCCTGGAACTGTAAGCTCAAATAAAGTCTTCCTTCTATAAGATGCTTGGGTCAGTGTTTCTATCACAACAAAAGAAAAGTGACTAATACAGTAATTGGTACCAGAGAGTGGGCTTCCCCTTGGCTGTGAAGAACCTGACCATGTGGAGTTTTGGAAAAATGTGGAAGACTTTGGAAGTTTGGGCCAGAAAAGTGGTTGATTGCTGTAAGCAGAGCTTAACAGGCTGTTCTAGTAAACACCTGGATGAAAGTAGTGCTGAGAACAATGTAGTTCCAGAGGGAAATAACGACTTAAGCAGCACTTGGGATATTTTGGCAGAGTCCGGCTGGAGTCTGTCCTCAACCTAAAAGCTTGCCTGAGGCTAAGTCGAAAAGCAATAGACTAATTTCTCTGGCAGAAGAAATTTCAAGACAGCCATGGTGGCATGGATATTAATGGTGAATATTATACAGATCTACAGTAAAAAAGAGAAAATGGGGCAGAAAGAAATACACTTTGGATTGAAAAAGAGCACTAGGAAGATCAATGTTGGAGCTTTGGCATGTGCTGGAGAGGATCCCTTTGATAAGGAAATTAAAGTGATTAAGGAGGGGCCTAGAGATTCAGACTTAAACAGTGGAGAGAGTACCTCTAGGGCAAGGCCACAACCAGTCAAGCCTCTAACTTCTGAAAGGAAATTGCTGCAGGGACCACTGAAAAGAAAAGCTTCTAAAATGGATAAAGCAGGCTGGAGCCCATCCCAAACTTGCAGTCAAATTTGGAAGTATTGTTCACCTGGTGCTGGCTTTAGAAGCATGAAAGATGCAAAAGTGAAGGGGTCATCAGTTCTTCCTCTGCCGTTTCAGAGAGCCGCTGAGGCCAGGCAGCGTGAAGCAGGGAGCCATTGCTTGAAGCTGTGAAGGTGAAGCCTGGTTGGCAAGGGAGACCCCAAGAAGTTCGTGATGCCAGAGCTGTGAGGTATTTGCCAAGAAGACCTGCATACAGGGAGTGGTACAAGCACAAGAGAGAGATGTGTGTTGCACGCAGCAAAGAGAGGCTGAGCCATCTAAGCCTTTTGGAAGTAAAGTCCCAGAAGTTGGACATGGAACTACTGGATTTGGTGTTTGCCCTGCTGGTTTTAGGTTTTGTTTTGGTCTGGTATTTCCTTACTATGCCTCCATTCCTCCCTTCTGGAATGGTAATGTGTATTTGGTTCCACTGTATGTTGGGAGTATCTAATTTGTCTTTTGATTTTATAGAGGCTTACAGTTAAGATATTTACCTGAGTCCACTTTGGACTGTGGACTTTTGAATAATATTGAGACTAATAATGACTATGGGGACTTTTTTTTTGTCTTTTTGAGACAAGGTCTCCTTGTAGCCCCAACTGTCCTGGAACTCACTATGTACACCAGACTGGACTTGAACTCACAAAGATCCGCCTGCCTTTGCCTCCCAAGTGCTGGGGTTAAAGGCATGCGCCACCATGTCTGGGTATAACTGTAGGACCCAGGGATCCCCCTCATTCAACCCCTCCAGACACCCCACTGATTGCTCTTTTCAGCTTCTGTGTAATGCTTGAAATGCACACCTGCTGCTACTCCTCCTCTGCTGTTCCCTTTCCAGGAAACTATAGATTAGATAAGCCCGGGTATGAACACTGCTCTATAGAGTAAAAATAAAGACTCCTGAACACACAGACGGCCTGCACATTCCACAACCCTGAGAACAACACCCGCCAATAATCTGCCAATAAAAAATCTCCACAACTGCATCCTGTACAACCGATCAGTTCAAAGGTGTGTTGGCGCGAGCAGGATTCTTGGACCAACCACAAAGTGACACTGTTATTCCCCTCCTCTCTTTGTTTCTAACCTATAAAAAGCCCCTTCTTCCCCCACCCGGGGCTCTCAGCACGGTTCTGTTATATCGGTGTGGTCTGAGAGCCCGAGTTTAAGCCCGAATAAACTATAAATCTTGCCTTTGCATTTTTGGTGTGTTGGGTCTTCGGTGGTCTTCTTGGGGTCCTGTGATTGAAGTATAACATTTGGGGGCTCGTCCGGTATTCCCCCCAGAGACCCCCGAGAGGAACCAACCCCAAAAGGTTTGTGATCAACCGGCCGGGTAAGTTTTTGTAAATTGTACGTGTGCCTGTCTTCTCTAAACCTTCACTTTGGTCATGGCCTTCTGATCTCAGTTTTTCTTTGTCGCTGAAATGCTAACCAGGTGACCTGGAGGATTCGGGAGACGTCCCCATCCTCGGGGTGGGTGCTGTTCATTGGACGTCCCACCAGGACACTAGTTCGTCTGAAATCTCAGAGGACCTCGTGACCCTGTTGGGACATGCATGTCCTATCTGTACGGTCTTTGGCATAATCGAGCCGGGGAACTCACCTGGCCGAGAGTCCAGACCATTTGAAAGCCGCAGCAGCTTATTCTGGGCCCTCTGTTTGTCTGTGTCGTTCCTGTGTCTTGTGCTCTTTGTTCTAATTTGTTGATGAAATGGACAGGACTGATGAATACTATGGGCAACACCCCATCTTCCCCTCTGGATCTTACGCTAGTCCACTGGGGGGATGTTAAGACGATTGCCCATAAAAATAGTGTAGATGTAAAAAAGAAGAAATGGACAACTTCATGTTTGGTTGATTGGCCCTCTTTAAATGTTGGATGGCCCCCTGAAGGGACTTTTAACCTGAGTTTGATTTCCAGAGTAGAGGACCACATCTTCTGCCCACGTATGGGCCACCAGGACCAGATTCTGTACATCGTAACCTGGCGGGGCCTCATTGAGCGACCTGACGGTCCCCCCTGCCTAGGTCAAGTCCTTTCTTCCCCTGGTTAACTTGTTGTTCCCTCCCCAACTTCGCAGGTCCTCCCTCTCAGACCAAAGGCAGCAGAGAAACCCATTCTCCAGGGAGGCAGGGAGGAGAGCGACATCTTTCCCCCGCCTTACTCCCCTCAGACGAGCATCCCGCCAACAGCCCCACAAGTGCAGACCCTGCCTCCCAACTCTGAGGAACCACCATCACTCCCACAGAGGCCTGCACAGGCCACACGGAGCAGGAGGGGGGCAGCCCTCCAGCCTGACACGGCTGTCCTCCCCCTCTGGCCAGCCGGACTCCCAGACGGAGAGGGCAACCAGCCTTTTCATTACTGGCCCTTTGCCACCAGTGATCTTTACAATT